CTTGGATTTCTGAAGTTCAAGCCAATTAAGGGCGTAGGTGACGTCTGTCTCGGCAGGTTGGTAACGGACGGAAAGTGGGAGCAGCGATGTGTGTTTGGTCGCTTTGGAAGCGATCCTGGAGAGTTCTGTGGGGCTCGGGGCATTGCTGCTCGTCAGCCTGATGAGGTTGCAGTGGCTGACTGCTACAACAAACGAGTTGTGATCTGCAGCATCGATGGTAACCAGAAAAGCACAATCCCGATGGAAGGATGTAAGTTAGGATAGAAACTGCTCACAACGATACACTGGTGCTTTGTTTATCTTAAATAAATTCATGATTTATTTTGGAATTACGATGTCAAACAGTGATGTATCCTGCCTGATGTGTGTGTTGGGGGGCAAATTCAAAAGCAAAATGCTTATTCAACAAGATGGTAGGGAGAAAAAATGTCGAAAGCCTTAGGCCTACTCACAGTCCCAACTCCCTTGCTTCAATTTCGTGGTGTTGTTTTCTAAGGGTTTGTTCATGTTTGATAAATACTTGTAAATACACTGATTACACTGATTTTAAGAATCCAGATATTGCAGGATATTTTATTTAGAGAATTTTCTTCTCCCCAAAAAGACCACACGGCGGTTTAATTGTACAATGCCTGGATTCTTAAAAACAAATCCAGTGAACCTCAATTCCGGCTCAAACTTTTTTTTAAACATTCAGGCAAATACATGTCAGATAACAACAAAACAGATATACGCTTCCAATTCACTGTAATAAATGCTGGACACGTTGCATCTACACAATGGTTCATGATCAACATTTCCTCCCGTAAAGGCTCAAAGTGCATTTCTGTTTTTGTGAAGTATCTATTTGCCAGCGTTCATTCGTCCATGTTTAAATACTATGCAGCACAGGTAGTGGACGAGGAGAACGCCCTCTTGCTGCTTATTTTGACGGAAAATTTACTTTCGTTTCGTTGCCACGCGACCGTGCATTCTAGTGCGTAAATATTATGAATATTTAACGCAAGCCTGGCAACAACTAAGGCTGAGAAGTGACTCCGGCTGGGCTTATTGTCGTGAGGGAAGGAAAAATTCCAAATTCCACGGACTCGCTAGACAGGGAGGGGGAGGCTTCAATATACATTCTACATGAATCCTTGTTCACTTGCTATGCATGGACGTAGCTACACGTTAGCCGCTTCTTTGAAACTTCTTCCAGGAGATTCATATTGAGTGTTTCATAAAAAATAATTCCAGGTTCCCAGGATCTATTTGTCAAGAAGGGACAAGGGTTGATCCTGGGTCTCTGGCTTCATAAATCTTCATGAACGTTGGTGATTGGTTAATGCTTTTCTTTTTGTCTTTCAACTCCAAACAGTGCCACTTGACATTGCAGCTACACGCACCGGCAATCGCTTAGCGGTTGTTGAGGAGAACGCATCCGACGTGAAAGTCTTTGACAAGGACAACACGCTGGCTTTCCAGTTCCCCACAGTGCCACCGAGTGAGGTCGGTAAGACCGCAGTGAACCTCCAGAGTGTAGCAGTCAAGACGGATGGGACCATTGTGGTAGGTGACATCGAGAGAATGGTGCTGACCGAACACAGCCCCACTGATGGCGAACTCAGAAGCACCATTCCAGTCAAAATT